TGGTCTCTTGGTGTAGTTGGTTATCACTTCTGTCTAACACACAGGCGGTCGCCGGTTCGAACCCGGCAGAGGCCATTAACCGACGGTTATTCCGTTCGGCTATCTCTACCACGGTCTCTTGGTGTAGTTGGTTATCACTTCTGTCTAACACACAGGCGGTCGCCGGTTCGAACCCGGCAGAGGCCATGTGCTTCCAAAAAGTTCCGGAAGCTAACAATGCTCGCATAGTGTAGTTGGTTATCACGTATCCTTCACACGGATGAGGTCCTCGGTTCGAGCCCGAGTGCGAGCATTCTTTTTTATTATTTCTCGCGGTCGTCCCCTATTTCTTTTTTTTTCGCTGTCCTTCTTCTCCGCGAAAGTCTTGTTTTCCGCTGCCACCTCAATTCTGCGCGAGTCGGACGTTCCGCGGCATCTTCCTACCTGCCTAGCCCCTGTCCATTTTTTTTCGCTTTTGGGCGCGAGGTGGATGTTTGGCGGTCTTTCCTGCACACAGCCTTTCCGACGATTGGTTGACCGGACCCAAACCAACCAACCAACCACTGCAGGAGGAGGCTACAAAAGCGAACGGGGGTGTCCGCCAAGAACCATATGGCAATGATGGTTGTGCGTGCAGTATCAAGTCCCTCATCCCTTTGCATTTGCCTGGCATTAAAAGAGAAGAAATTAAAGAACCACAGAGCGTGCGGACACGTTCCTGTGAGGTAGGGACCCCGTTGGGCGTGACCGGCATCAGACGACACTAATCAGCAGACGAGGAAAGGAAGCAAAAGGAGCCGTGCGTGCCAGAATGAAGGACACCAAAAAAGAGACACCCCGTTGGGGGGGACAAAAAATGAAGCTGGCCGGACTTGAACCGACAACCTTGTGGACTGGAATCACATGCGCTACCATTACGCCACAGCTCCAAGAAAATGAGCAGAGTGGGATTCGAACCCACGCCCGAAGACCGCGACCTGAACACGGCGCCTTAGACCACTCGGCCATCTGCCCAATAACATTATAAGGGAGTGCTCTGTGCCAGAGTCGAACTGGCGGCCTTAGGATTATGAGACCTACGCGATAACCAACTACGCCAACAGAGCTCATTGATAGGTTGGAAATGCTCCGTACAGGGATCGAACCTGTGACCTTGGCGTTATTAGCACCACGCTCTAACCAGCTGAGCTAACGGAGCACTTGTTTTCTTGTTGTTTTCGAAAAGGTAAGGAATATTATTACCGATTCATATATTGCAAGAAATCTTCAATTTCGAATCTTTGACGCATGTCCCTGCAACGACCCATGGCGTTTAGCGGCGGTATTGGATACTTGGCATCGACAGTATCAATCTAAAGCAGGAACAATCACGGTCGCTGGTGCGAGGACGAGGTCATTTGGAAGGAAATGTTGGGAGCTGCGAAGTGACTTTCCCTCCCACATGGTGGTAGCCTCTCAATCCCACATCGTCGTTGCCCGCCCACCATGACCCTGGATAGCACTGTATTGGCCTCGTGCTTCTTCAAAGATGCCAGAACCTGCATCAGTGAGGACTTGCCCGTTGCTGTCACCAATTCCATGCCGCCGTTCGTGGTGTGAATTGCCTCCTCATGCACCGGGAAAAGAAGGTCCTCGGCGTGAGTGATGAACCACCTTATTTGGCCATTTGGCCAGACAAAGAAGGGAGTCCTGGCTCCGGTTAGAAGGCTAGATGCGATCGGCGTCAGGACCTGGCCCACAGTCACGCCTAACTTGTCACTTCCCCCCCCCACCTCATTTTCTCGTGGCCATACTAGCCGTCTTCAACGACCCCTGCGTTTGCCACGTACAGCCATACGTTGCGGATAGCTTTTTCTTCACGTCACCGACACATCCTCCCCGCGTTGCTAAGGATGCTCGACTCCGCGGCGGAAAGTTTGATGCGGATGGCTAAGGTTCTGGATGGTACTATCGCAGTTTACTGACCAGAAACTAGTCCCCTAAGTGTTGATAGCGGCCGTGTAGCCGTCGTGATTAGTTTGCCACCGGGGAGGGACGACGCACACCAACGCGCAATCATCAGAGCAGGCCTAGGCACGGAGAGGATTCCCCCCTAGCTCTCGTGAAGGTATTCATGACGGTGAATATCATCCGATTCATAGATGTCCCCTAAACCGTTATGGAAAGCCGAAAGACTCAAGCCTAAAGTAGAAGCTAAAAGCAAGCTTCATGCCAGCACGAGGGAAACGGCGCAATCTGGAATTTCTAAGCACGCATTCACATACCCGCGGCTAAAGTTTGGCGACTGAAACGGCATCCACCGGAACCAAGGGACGCATCATCTACCGAGGAACAGCCTCCTTCGAACCGAAACTACGGAAGCACCATCACGCGAAGGGACCAAATGTTGTGACTATAAACTACCCTGAGACTAACGTTCCGCCAGTCTGCGAAAATTGTGTTGCTTCGTGATCAAAGGCGTCGGCAAGCCCGGTATTTTGAGAAAAGCGTTGACATGAGCAGGTCAAGCGTAGGTCGTAAAGGGCCAGACCGAGAAAACAGGGCTGACGCTTGACATGCCGAAGCTTCTGATAAGGATACTCCAGCACTTGAGGAAAGTCTGATATGACCGTCAAAAAGGAGAAAAATGTTGGCCGGAAAGCAGGGGAGAAATGGAAGTGAAGGTAGATGGTCTCCGCGAGCGTATTTATTTACATGGCGTTCTTGTTGGCGAAGATCTGAGGATAAGGGATTGAAAAGGTGCAAAGGAAAGAAAGGTAAAGAGTTAGAAAGCCGGAAGTAGGTCAGCGCGATCATCAGACGATTCAGATCGTAGGAAAATCAAAACAAGCGCAGCATAAACGGCAACAAGCGGCTGAAAGGAAAAAAGAATGAAGAACTTGCTCCGCACCTTCTCGACGGCCTGTCTCGGGGTCAGGATCTCGTCAGCGTCCCGGTCCGGGATCTCAATGTTGAACTCGTCCTCGAGGGCCATTGTGATCTCGACCTGGTCCAGACTGTCAAGGCCGAGGTCGGTGATGAAGTGCGAGTCCAGGGTGAGCTATACAGGAGGAATTGGAAGGAATTAGAGACGTTAGTGCAGGTCGGTAAGTTGAGTGGAGGAATGCAGCGACAACAGCGGGGAAATTGGGCGGCGCTAAGGCAACACGTCATCACCCAAAATCTTCTTTCCATCGTCCCGTATCGTAGCATCCAACATCCATTTGATCCAGTAGTCACTCCGAGAACCAAAGCATCCCCACTTCGCGGCCAAACTCATGGCCAGAAACTCCAAGAAAGATTCCAACGGGTAAAGACTCTCCGCCGGCATGTTTACCTTGGCCACATCCACTTTCTCGAAATCCCTCAGCACCTCCAGAACGCGCTTCTCGACGGCAGCGAGAGTCAGCGGCTCCGCATGGCCCGAGTAAGCCCTGGCCTGGAACCTCGGAGCGACGGCAACGACGGCGGGGATGGTCCTGAGCGGGAAAGCGGTGACGACGGAGCGGCGGGCGGCGACGGTGAGGATGGGACGGAGGACGTTCGCGCGGGTGAAGGGGCGGGTGCGGGCGACGAGGGCCGGGATGCGGCGAGGGACGGCGTGCATGGTTTTGGGCGAGTCGGTTGGTTTGCGAGGTCGAGGTTTTTCTCGCTTTTTTTTTTTTCGAGCTCAAAATTTCCCCGCTGGACGGATCGGAGGGTACCTCGTCTCGCTGGAGGCGGACGCGGCGTTACTGGTGAAGACAGAACGAGCCTTCGAGCCTGACGATCCGCCATCCTGCGTTTTGGCGCGCTGCTGATTAGTGGCGATATGGGCGATCAACGAGCGACAAGACGGAACTACTTGAGTTGCGACCCAGGTTTCGTGTCCTGCTGGATCGATCAGTCCCTTCCGTGCCGTTTGCCCCTCCGTTATACGGCTATCTGCACACGGTTTCGTGAACTCGGCCACAATCTTGTCCCAAAAATCGACTGCCTTTAAGCGAGTTGCTTCAGATGGGCGATGCTTGCTTTCGTCCCATCAAAGTCCGCTTCGCCGATGACTTTGTTGCTACAGGATGTTCGCATTTGCATTCGAAAGCCCCGGACTCTGTTTGTTCAGCGATGCAACGTTAGCGCAAAAATCCCCGACCGTTGCAGGATAGACGCTGCGATTTGTTGATTGCGAGCCGAGATTTGGTGGCGCGCGCTTCCCCAGCATGATCGTGTCTCGGCGACTCACCTCGTGGCAAACGAAACGTCGCCCATTTTGAAGCCCCACCGTCCATCAGCTTTCCGCAACGCCCCTCGCCCTTCACACGTGCACCGGCGCCTCAACGGCGAAGAATGGCCGTGAACTTGCCTTTGAAAAAAAATAGAAATCGGGCGGAAAGTCAATCGTGCCTTCAACGCGTCCCGCCATAAATCCTCGCACCCAACCGCATCGCCCCACTTTCAATCCTTCCAGACCCACAGACTATGCACGCACTATCCACCATCCTCGCTATCGCCGCCGTCGCGGTCACCGCCGCAAACGCATGGCAGGCTCGTCCGCCCTACAGGCTCCACTACGCCGCACCTGACACCCCTGGAACCTCGGAGCCGGGTTACCCCGAAGACGCGTCACCAGAGTACCCTCCTGAACGCTGGCAGGCTCGACCGCCGTACAGGCTTCATTATGCCGTCCCTATGGTTCCCCCAGTGCAGCAATATTCCGAGGGTGCCGCCCAGTACCCTAGCGAGCGCTGGCAGGCTCGCCCTCCTTACAGGCTCCACTACGCCGCCCCGGATGGCACTGAGCCCCAGGATCAGCAGTATCCCGAGGACGGTCCACAACAAGACCCTGCCGAACGCTGGCAGGTTCGCCCTCCGTACAGGCTCCATTACGCCGCCCCCGACGGCACCAACGGACCCCAAAACCAGCCAGGCCCAGACGCCGCAGCTCCGGAGGACCTTTCACCTAATTGGCAATATCGGCCGCCCTACCGGCTGCTCTACGCCGCGCCGGACGCCACGTCCACCGCTCCCGCTGTCCCCACGGCCGAGATTTCAGCGGCGCCGGATACTGCCCTGACCACCAAGCCGGCGTGCGCGTTGCGGTTCCAGGAAGCCGCGGTAGCTTGCAAGGCGGCCGGAGCGGGATGGGAGGGGTGTGTGCGCGTGGCGTGGAGGGAGCGCGGGAGGTGCTTTGAGGCCGTTGAGGCGGGGAGGGAGGCCGGGGTTGGGGAAGCGGAGGGGAACAAGGAGGAAGGGCCGGTGGGGTCGGACGTGTAAGAGAAATAAGAACGAGCCTGGGTGGTTAATAAAGAGCGTCGGGGTTGGGTACATACAAAAACGGGTTTAGCTTTACTGAATAGCAAGAGTCATGCAAGAGAAAGGGAGATTAAAAAAACGCAAGACAGAAACGATGACAGCGAGAACCCTCCACCTCCCAAGAACACTATCACGTCAAAAAAGCAAAAACACCCATCGCCCT